GGGAGGTGTTTTGAGGGATGATCCGTGTCATCATCTGCTGATGGGATGCACCCATCTCATGGTCTTTGCCAGCCCCCCCCATCGCTAGCGGAGATGGGGGCTCATGGGTTTAAGCAGATAAATTGGGCAAAGTTTGGGGTTGCTCTGGATGCAACATTTGCTGGCTGCCCCCTGGTCAAACCACACATGGAAAACAAACCAGGTAGGGAGAAAAACCCTACCCAGCCTCTGGGCACTGATTTTCCAGCGAGTTCAACTGCCTGAACCGAAGCGCAAAGTAAATCCCCACCCAGCAGGTCGGGCGGGAAAAGAAACCAGTTGCCCCAAAAACCCCAGACAGCAGCATCAACAAAAGGCAACCCTTCCCGTTGGAGCAGGCAGGAGGATCAGACAGCAAAGGAGCCCGCAGGGGCTTGTTCCATTTCGTTCATTTGTTTTGCAAATTGCGAGGTTGGTTTGGGGTTACTCATTTTTTTTTTCTCTTTTCCTTAAAAAGGAAAAAAAAAAAGAAAAAAAGGAAGCAACCCAACGTTTCTGTTGGCGGATCCTGTGCCGCCATGTTATGCGTGGGTTTTTTTTTGTTGTTGTTGTCTTTGTTACTTTTGGATCGTTACAGATTTATTTGCTAATCAGTGTTAATGAACAGTTTAAAACTTTTAGACTCCCCCATTTCTGTGTATTTATATAGATGGAAAAAAAACCCCGTTATATTTTGTATCTTTGTGCCCATAATGTTGTTGCGCGTGTAAGGATGACTTTGGTCGCACCACGTCTCTGTGTGAATGTGACTCTGCCTTTGTCTTCCCGTTGTACAGATGTCGGATTCTTTGCAGTTCATTGTATGGCTTTATAAAGTGGTAAAAAAAAAAAAATCAATTATATAAAATATACTGTTGCTTGGAATGCCAGCTTGGTGTCTGGATCGCTGGAAATGTATCTTGAAATTTAAGGGAGCGCAGGAATAAATGCTCTGTTCTTTTTGCACAGGGAAAAAAAAAACCCTCTAAAACCCGGTGGGTTCTGTGTTTTCTCTGGGCTGTCGTTCCCCCCGTTCCTCGACGGCAGATTGGGGCCCCAGGACAGACGCCGGGCGGTGGGCGTGGGAAGAAGGAGGGGTTGTGCTGCTGTTTGTCAGCCTCCAGCCGCAGTTTGTGTTCACCAGATGCTCGCTAACCAGACAGCCCCAAAACTTCCTACATGGCTCCAGCTCCAGCTTGGGCTTTTGTTTCCCAGGAGGGATCTCTCTGGCTTGCCCTGCTGGCACTGCGTGCTCTTCAAATCCTGCTGCTTTCTCCCAGGTTGCCTTTAGGTGCTGGCTGTCCAGCCCCGCGCATCCCCTTTGAGTCCATCTCCTGCAGGGGAGCAGGACGGGATGATGCTGGTATGGAGTCTTTTGCCTTTGCCGAGGTCTGCTCCTGTTAAATCCCGCTCCCTGCCCCTTTCGGAGCCATCCTGCTCCCCCGTGCCTGGCAAAACTGCCCCCGAAGTCTCAGGCCTGGCTTTTCCAGGTCTCAGAGCAATTCCCAGCATTCGTCAGAGCCCTCATCCCCCGGCTCTCTGGCTCTGCTCCTTCCCCTCCTCACTGAGTTGGTGGCCCAGACCCGGCCCCCGGGATGGATTGAGTTTAATTATACAAGAAATATCAGCCAGAGCAGCGGCAGTTTCTCTGGCGCCAGCGCTGCTGTGGCTCAGAGGCTCAGAGCTTCTCCCGGGAGCTGACAGCACTAAAAATACCTCCTGCCTTTCTCTAAAATAGCTGCAGGGCAAGGGGCGGATTGAGGGGGCTGCTTGCGTGGGGACCCCATGCTGTGGGGCTTGTGCTGGGAGGCGAAGGCAAGAGGGGTAAAAAAAGAAAGGGGAGGAGATGGGATAGTTTCTGGCCCCCCAGAAATAGCTGTGGGGCTGTGGGTGGGCACCCAAGCGGCATGTCCTCCGAGCCAGGCTGCACCACTGGACCTCGGGAAGTACCTGGCGTCTGCCAGCCTTGGCCTCGGCTGTCCCCCGTCTACCCGCCAGCAAGACAGGACCTGCAGCCTCCTCTCCCTATCTGACACAACGGGGATGGTATTTTCTTGCCAGCTTCTCTTGGTTTTGTTTCTTCCCTGATTCCTTTTTTTCCCCTCAGGAGCCGGCACCAGCTGCCTGCCCGTTCCCGGTGCTCCTGCCCAGCTGGGACGGCCACTGCTGGGTGTCCCCTGGGCAGGAAGGAGAGGCGGCAAGTTGCCTGGAGAGATGGCACGGACAGACTATTTGTTGTGAGCCATAAACTGCTGTGCATTCCCCCCCTCCCCGCCCCGTTCCTTTTCTGCAGTTAATTCCCCATTTCCTTTCCAAAATTCCTCAGGAGCTTCTGGTTTGTGTTTTTCCTCGACATGTTCTTATCTGCCACCCGCTTCCCCTTGCCGGCTCTCACAGTGCAGGCTTTTCAGGGTCTCCCTCTTCACAGCTTGCTGCTGTCTCCAGGCCAGGCTGGTGGCTCTGGTGTGACCATCAGGAAAGGCAGGTCCCACCAGCTCTGTGCCAGGAA